TCATGCCCAAGGTATACTCAAGTCTTAAGTACTGTTCTTCCTATGTCTTAACCCATTGAAAGTCTGCGTTATTTCACCACAAATGTAGAAAGCCATACCTTCTGTGCTTTGTTCCATGCCAGCCGACAGCTTAGTTGATTAACACTCGTCGGCAATTACAAAAAAATAAAAAAGCAATACAGCCACAATAAACAGCTCAATTAACGCCACTCACGAGGAGGCTGCGGCCGGGGGGGGTGCGCTGCACGTGGGAGTGAGGGAGATGTGCATGCCATCAGCAGCAACAGTTTCACTAGTTCGAAGCAGTTTTGCCATGTGAACGGCAATTAGAAAACGCGGTTACATCATGGACACACACAGAGAATAGTAAGCGGCAACAAAGGGTTAATTCCCCATTACGTGCTTATTGAGAGCGAAACGGAGGGAGGGAGGGAGGAGGAGAGGAAACAAATTATGAACGAACTATCCAAAAAGAGAATAGAAAATAAAGTGCAGGCAAATATCAAACGCACATACATATACATACATAATATGTACATGTATATGTACATCTTTATGTATTTTGTTAGAAAAGAAGGGACAAAAATGTGAGGGAGAAATGCCTTTGATTTTTGCCTTGCCTTAAACGATGTTTTACACATTTAGAACTGTCAGCGGAAAAAAGTGTCGGGTAAATTCTTTCAAAGAACACAAAAAAAACTACATGAAATGGAAGCTCATTTTCTATGTATATAAATAACACCACATACGAGTGTGTAGGAACTATGCAGGCATGGAAATGCTTTGTTACTTGAAATATTGAACCATTTGTCTTAGAAACAGTTCCCAAATTGCGTTCAGATCGACAATTTGATTGGATTCTGTAGTCTTGTGGCGCCATCCGACGACTGCCACTGGCAGCACGTCAACCATTGACATTTTCTGAATGAATTTCAGTTATAAATAAACAGAAGAGCAGAGGGCCGCCCATTAAATATAGACACACCACACACAAAAAACACATTTAATTCATGCCTAATGCCTAATGAAAAAATGTTTTCACTCCAATTCGTTTGGCATTGTTTGACCGTCCAAGGGGGGGGGGGGGAATTGTTGGTATTGTGGGATCTGCATGGGAAAATAGATGAGCTTATAATCATGCTAATGCCACAGAACTAATTGATCTAATTGGAGGTGATGGCTGAAATTTGTATAAAATTATAATTAATTGTCAGAGAAATAAATTAGAACTGGTCGAAAGTTATGCCCAGCCCCAACTGGGATTTGTTGAGCGAATGATCTGTAATATATTCCTGTGGCAGATTGTGATTGGAAATGCAAATGAAAGCTCATTGTGGACCCAAAAACACATCATCTTGTGCCACTGTCCACATGCCAGAGCAAAAGCTTTGCATTGCCAGCGCCCTCTGGCGTCTGTGTGTGGTAGCGCTGCGGGCAGCTTAACGAAAGCTCCGCGTAGCTTTGCATGCTCTCCATTTCTCTCCAGCTGTGAATCGTGTCTCTGGCGCTGCTGTGGGCAAATTGTCGGTCGCGTGGCTATAGCCCCTGCGACTGCTGAGCCCTCACCCTCCTGCGGTTCTACCCTCTGCCCTTCTGACACGTGCACTCTCCCTCTCTCAATCTACCAATAATTACTGCTGGATCTGGATATCACTCATACAATTAATTAGCATCTTTGTTCTCCCTCGGCGCTGCCGTTGCCTACGACAACAATTAGAATGGAAATCTCTCTGACGTTGGCTCTCGCTCGTTATTCGCGTTATTCGCGTTATTCGCGTTATTCTGTATTCGTTTGTTGTTTTCTCTTTCTGCCTGTCTCCGTGTCTGTCTCTGTCTCCCTGCTTCGTGGGTCACATGTTTGAGCAGTGTGTCGCCGACGCCGACGCCGACGTCAGCAGAGTGTCGAACGCTTCTTGGATCTTTCGTTCCATGGATGGGCCCGTCTGGGCGCTACTCGAATTGCATTCCCTCAAGACTGTCAGCGTTTTTCACCGTTGTAATATTATCTCATAAACCCATTTCATTTCCGAGTGCTGAACTTCAACTTTGCTCCAGAAATAAATTAATACAAACACATATTTCACCTGATTCTCCCCGATTCGCATCCAGGGAACCGTCTACTGATATCGCAGCACTTTTATTGTTTTATGCGGTCAGCACTAAGCCGATGGATCCAACCGGTTGTCCGCTGTCCACGAGGTATTGGCAGCCGTCTGATAAGCCCTGCTATATCATTTTTATTTCCAAAACTTAAATACAACGACAACTAGTGCCATGAGAGGCCATAAAGTGTTTGAGCCAATAGACAGCACAGCGCGTGTTTGTCTTTTGATGGCTCATTCGCAAAAGTTGAAAGGAATGTCCAAGTGGGAAACCACACCGAGCCCGAATTTAGTTCTATGGAATAATGGATCTTCAACGGAGAAAAATCCCCCTAGCAATACCTCATATTTCACGCTCTAGATCGGGGCTCATCAGATTTATATCTCCCTAACTGATAGTGCTTAAATGACCAAGTAGTTGGCATAAAGTCACCCGTTGCTCAACACCAAACCCACCCCACACGTATCCCTCCACAACAGCAAGCAGTTCCACTCTCCCTATCTGGGTCAACTGGTTTTTCGGATTTAATAAGCCCCAACGGGGTGGTTGTCGTAAAAAGCGTTAAAACATTTCAGCATTTCTAAATAATTATTTAGCAAAACGCAAAAATTTACGACCTGCTGCACTAAACACGTGCAAACGGACGCTAACGACGCCATAGCCATAGCCATAGCCACAGCCATTGCCATTGCCAGAGCTGTCGCCAGAGAACTTGAGAATCGGAGACCCAGGGAGAACCAGAGAACCCCACTCCAGACATACTACAATCAGAGCCGGAGGGAAAAGCATTTAGGGTTTTTTTTTCAGCTGAAGTATGCACTCATATTTCGTTAATGGGAAAATAACCTGCTGATTCAAAGGTGCCATCTATGCTGCCCAATTCCTTACATTCATTTATACGTTATCTGATTGAGGGAATGCATTTGATGTACACTTTTCCTACTAGATTTAGATGCAACTAAAAGTGTGTGAGTGTGAGCGTGCCTTAAGTTGCTATTTATAAACGGGGAAGTGAGAAGAGTGCTGAGGGAAACCCATAGAAGAGGCAGCACCCAGCAGCAGTAGAGCTTCGCCTCGTCTCGAGTTTGTTTTTGTGTTCTCCCGCTCTACCGCCGCGCTCTCAGTAGCAGGGCTCATTCATGCACTGGCAAGCGCCACTCACTGCGTCTCTGTGTGTGAGTGTGTGCTTCAGTGCGGTACTCAGAAGCGCACACAGTTACACAGCCACACATTCGCACACACACAGAGAGAGAGAGAGAGAGAGAGAGGCAGAGGCCGGCGCACGTGGTAGCGAAACGTGATAACACAAAATACAACAACTGGCAACAAGACAAACAGAAAACCTGACAACGTTGTCGCTGCCTCAGTCTCTGCCTCAGTCGCTGCCCCTTTGGCGTTGGCGTCGCTGCCTCTGCGTCGCTTTTCCACATCGTCTGCCTGTTGCCGTTGCCTGCCATTGGTCCCGGCAATTCGGCACATAAGCCCGGCCAATGGGCATCTATCGTGCAGCATCCTGGTGCCATTGGCAGGAGCCGTGAAGCCGAGGAGCCGAAGCTGAAAGTTGTTGACTTGTTGCAGCGCCATGGGTAGCCAGCGTATACAGAATACACAAGACACCATGGCCAATGCCCAAAGTTGGATTTTGCAACCGTTTGAAACTAGAGGAGCAGGTGACATCTCCCAATGGTGTGGGGAGTACAGGTGCAAAACTGATTGGGGCTGGTTACGGGGGAAAGCTTTTCTTTGGACTAAACAATGGAGAGCAACACAAAAAGGGATTGTGGGCTACAGATAGGAAATAGAAATGAAAGAAATGAAATTATCCATAGATATTTACAGAATTAGAGTTAAAATACTCGAGAATTGCTGAAGGGCTTCCAGTTTGGCGGTGGAGGAAGGCTGGCATTTAGCACAGTCATTTGTGTGACGCATTTTGAGAAGTGTCACCCACTTGCACCCCTTGAGATATGACCAGACAAACAGAAGGGAGAGTTGGCTTTTAATCAGCTTGCGGCAGAGAGTTCCATCACATTACGCATACGTCACGTGTTGCACACGCATCAGTGCCCCACACAGAGTGGCCGCACCAAAAGAGCACGCACTTGTGATCCATCGGGATGCAGGGGGATGCCTGCATGAAGAGTCCGACTACGCCGCATGCTGTGGATGGATGAAGGGGAACGTGAGAGGGAGAGGGAGAGGGAGACAAGAGTAGAACGAGCGAGGGAGATGGCGTGTCAGAGTGATTTGTATCTGTATCTATATTTGTGCTTCTGTGAGTGTATGCCAAATGCAAGCCTCGCTTGTCGTTCAACGTGCCCTCTACTGCCTGCTCTCACTGCCTGTTGGTTCTCCCTCTCCCTCTCTGTCTCTCAATTAATTTTGAGGCTGTATGGGTGGCCGGTGTGTGCGCAACACGTGCTTAGAACTGTGCTAGACAGTGGGCTTTGGGTCATATTGAAATCCGCGTGACTTTGCCGCTGTCCTCAGCTCTCGAGCTCTCGGCTGCTCGGCACTCGGCACTCGGGCTCGCAGTCGAAGTCGCAACTGCAGCTGCTGCTTCTGCGTCGCTGTCGCTGTCGCTGCTGTTGGCTCCCCTGCCCGCGCTTATTAATATATGAATATTTGTTGCTTGTACATATGTAGGAGAGCACACACAATAAGTTTGTTTGATACCACTGCAAAAACATTTATCGGAGAGTGGATTGTGGTTTTGGGGTGCACCTCCCCGTCGCCCTTTACGTAAGCGTTTGACTTACTTGCAGAAAACTGCACTGAGAGCAGCCCTCGGCTGGCTGCGGCTGCGGCTGCGACTAACGCAGAAGCAGCGACTGCAGCAGAGACAGAGACGGAGGCAGAGGGCCGTAGAATCGGAGACCGGAGACCCTGTCTGTTGGATCGGCGGCCGGCATTCGGTCGCATCGCGTTCTCATGTGAAAATCATAGTCGGCGGTTGCTCCGTGCCTCTCCTCGAGCGGGAATCGAAACAAATCGATCAATTGTTTAGAACCTTTTGACGAAAACCCACGCAAAACAAAACTAAATGAATCTAAATTGATTTCTCCATACGGAAATGTTCTAGAACGAAATGCCAGCAAATGGGAGATAAATCTATTTTCCATATGTGCAAACAATAATAATCATTTTCAAGTGCAACAATTGTGAAAGTGTGTGTGTGTATGTGTGTGTGCAATAACAAAATACTATAGAAAGAGAGAGCGCGAAAGAGAGAGAGAGAGGGAGAGGGAGAGTGCTCTCATCAGCGATCGCTGCGAAAGAAATCTTTTTGCATCAAAGTTACGGATCCAATTTCAAAGTCTTATTTTCTCTCATTTATAATACAACAAACAAAACAAGCAACAACAATAATACAATAATACCCCCGAAAAACCATCGAAAAACAACAGAAAAAAACATAGCAAATATCTCATTTTTAATGCAGCAGCAAAAATAAGAGAATAAGAAAAGGTATTGCCACACAGAAGAAAGGCTGAACGGAATAGAAGAGAAGAGTTTTATTTCAATGAATTTGGCACATTTTAATTGAGTTTTCAAGTTGAAGTAAAAGAGCATTCAAACACCTAGAAAACTGCACTCAAAAAGTGTTATTATTGTTTGAATTGATTGAACTGAAAAGCAAAAGCAACTGAAAAGGCAGAAGAAGCAAATGCAAAATAATACACATAAATGCCTTTTCTTATTCCTTATCGTCACACGATCATCAATCTTTATGTAGAACGAAAAGCAATTCGAATTCAAAGTGCATTCCATTAGCACACAGTCGTCAGACCTTATCGAAGCCACGAATCATCACTGAAGCGTCACCCACAACACTGGTACACCTCATGATCATTGCCGACCATTGCAAGACCAAGAATCTAATTTGAGTTTTCCCAATGGAAGCGCACTGTTTTCAGAGTGAAAATTGTCAGTGTCAAAAGTGAACGAACAGCAGTGTTGGCCAACAATGCGCACAACTTTCAGCCGTGACCCAATGTTCATATTGCTGGGCAGCAGATGCAATCACGTGCAACACAAGGAGGTGATCACCTGAGTCAAAGTCTCTAGCCAACCAAAAAACAGTATAAAGTTCCAGCTAAAGGATCATATAATCCACACATCCCAGTGATCAGGGAGCAGTGATCTGTGACTGTAACCATGTCGTCGGATACGAATTCGTGCGCCAGCTTCTTTGCACAGGAGCATGCGAATGCCACACTGTCGCAGTACTTTCAGCAGCTCAACTCTCAGGTGGCTGCCGCTGCGGCAGGCTCCAACAACAACAGCAGCAGTAGCAGCAGCGGTAACAGCAGCAGTGGCAACAACAGCAGCGGCAACAGCGACAGTGGCAACGATGGCAGCCTTACGGGATCCACGGGAACCCTGGATAATCATCGCAGCAGCGTCAGCAGCAACGATTCGGGCAAGAGCAGTGCAGGAGGCGGTGGTGGCGTTGCCAGTGCCATCACCAGTGGCGTCAACGCCTGGGCAATGCAACAGCAGCAACAGACGGCAGCCTTGCACCATCACCAGCAGCAGCAGCAACAACAGCAGCAGCAGCAGCAGCAACAGCAACAGCAACACTTGCAACAGCAGCAGCAGGCGCATGCACACCAGCAACATGCTGCCGCCGTGGCTGCCGCCCACATCCAGCAGCAACAACAACACACACATCACGCCCAACAGCATGCCGTCGCACAGCAGCATCAGCACCATCCCCATGGACCGCCCCATGGCCACCCACCACTCACCCACTCGCACCCGCATCACACGCAGCAGCAGCAGCAGCAACAGCAACAACCACACCATCACCATCAGCAGCAGCAGCAGCAGCAGCAACATGCCCAACAGCAGCAACATCAGCACAACCTTTCCTCCGCAGCGGCAGCGCCCTCCCCCAACAACAACAACAATAACAGCGCAGGTGGCAGTGGCAGCGGCCACTCCATATTCGGGAGCGGAAATTTCCACTACAAAAGCAACAGCTCCTGGACCCTGCCGACGCTCACCTACCAGAGAATCTACCAGGATAATCCCCACTACCAGCGAAACGCCTTCATGGATCCCCAGGGGAATGCAGCGGCGGCAGCAGCAGCAGCAGCAGCAGCAGTAGCCGCTGCCGGCTGCAATGTGGCAGCTGCAGCTGTGGCCGCGGCTGCGAGTGCTGCAAGTGGTGGCCAGGCATCCAGCAACAATCCAACCGCGGGAGCAAACCCCAACAGCAACGGGGCTGCCAATCCCAGTCAGACTAGTGTCAACAGCAACAATAACAACAACAGCGTGTCCTCTGTGGAGCATGTGGCAAGTGCAGTGGCAGCGGCAGTGATCGTCAACGAGCATCAGAACCATTTGAATAGCCTCAAGGCGAGATTTCAGCCATCCAGCTCAGGTGAGGGGGTGATTGAAGGCGATCGAAGACTGCGAAGATCTCAAACACATAGCAAAGGGATGAATTCCCTTGTGTTGTACAAGTTCAAGGCGCAATATGTTTTTTTCCATTTATTTATTATACATTTTCCGAGTGCTCAAATCTTTCGTTTTCTTTGGCACTGCGGGAAATCCCTAGAGTTCCACTCGTTCGCTCTCCCTCTCTCCGTATAAGTGTGTCTCTATGTGTAACCCCCTGCCATCCCCAAGCTCATCCCTTTCATTCCAATCGCTGATATCATCGGACGTCAGCGGCGGAGAACTTTGCGCATTTCCAGCTCAAAGTCAAGAAAGCTTGCGGCGCACACGTGAGTGGACTGACGTCGCCTGTCGTCTGAATCGAATGCGAAACGGAATGGAAATTCAAATACAGACACAGATACATACATACGTGTATCTGAGACTGTCACTGAAGCTACATACATTGCACATGTTGTAGTGTTGGAATTCTATTTAGGCATTTGTCAGGTCTAATGCCAATCACTTTGCACACCCTACCGCAATGAGGAATTCATTATTTTCAAAGCAAAGAATCTTAGTTTTTCGTGTGATAAGACTTCTATGACGACCTATGCCAAACTGCGTTGCAATTCAACTTGTTATCAGGGTCTCCCTTTACTCTTTCTCTGCCTCAGCCTCTGTCTCTGTCTCTGTTTTTTTCCAATCGGCAATTAGTGCTGGAAAATAAGTTGATATTCCATTAAATTTTCCATTTAATGAGAATTATATGGAATCTACAACTGACATTTGAAACGGTCTCTGCCCTAAAAGAACTCTTTTTCTGCTTTCTTGTCCTTTTTCTGCCCCTTTCAGAGCTTTTTGATCTACTTTGTCAATGCATTTGGCACAAATTTTGGTGCTCTTTTTTATGCCAACCCTTTGAAATGCGCGACTAGGCTGCCACCATTTTTCGTTTCCCTTTTTTGCCTTCCTTTCTCCTTTCACGCTGAGGTCAGTCGAATGATGCATTCGGTTTGATTAGATTTCGGAATTAGGCTGATGAGATTTTTGATGGCAAGTGATGCAAATATGCAAATGCTAAATGAATGCCAAATGTGGGTGGGTGGGCTGCACCTACTGCACGCCCACTGCTGTGTTCCTCCTCCCTTCAGTTCAGCCATTGAGCGGTGAAATTTTGCTATATTGAATCCACTGGAAATGACCTTTTAAAGGCAGAATGAATAATAATTTGTACGGGCATATTCGTGTGGGTTTCGAGTGTGGGGAAAGCGGCCGGCGAGCAAAATGGATAAATGACAGTTTTTGCGGCCTGTGGGTGGGCCCCCATGCATGGGAAAACATATACTACGTACATTTCTGGCAGCCTTGACTGAAACGATCATTGCAATTATTCTATCAATTTCCAAATTGTTCCTCAAACAAATTTCTAACAATTTATGTTTATTTTTATTTCCAGGTAAGCTTCAATCGACTCAATGACTCTCTGGAATGGCTCTTGTTTTTTGTGAATTTTGAAACGTTTATGTTTTTTGTTGGCTGGTAAGCTTTTCATTTGTATTTCGCATCATCCATCGAGGGGGAAAACGTGGGGTGGGGGCTCTCAAGCTTGGAAAAAGCACTCAAAAAGCTTTTGGGGTCTCAGCCAACTCACTCAAAACAAAGCTGCTGCTGCCGCTTACGCTGGCTTCGGCGCTGACTTCGCTGCTGCTGCCTGGCAAGCGAGTGTGGAAAATGTACACTTCCGCATCTAGTGCAGCGGCAGCGCGCAGCTCACACGAAGCGTGGCGAATCGCACCGCAAGGCAGAAAGAAAGAGATGGAAGGCAGGCGCGAACTTTGGCAGGCTGCGCGAAAGAAAGTAAAAAGGTGGAGAATGCGCAAAAAAGCGGCAGAGGGAGAGAGCGTGAGAGAGCAGGAGCGGTAGCAGAGCTGCGACTGCGGCTTTTATGCTTTCGGTTTCAAGTTTGGCTTTGACGCTGGCTGCGCAGTCGCAACATTTTGGCCACTGCCGCTGGCACTCTTCTCCTCTGGAAGAGCCAGCGGGTGGTGGAGAGAGAGAGAGAGAGAGAGTGCGCCGGGGGTTCCCATCACGACCATCGAAGCTGCGTTGCATGAGTCTGGCCTGCCGACGCCGCGCGCGTTCACTCAGCGTTCGCAGTCCGGCGGCACCGGTTCGTTTCTCGGTCTCTACGGCGCTACCCAACACCGAAAACCCAAAAACCGGAGGACCACCAACCCGTACCCGCAGCCGTACCGCACCATACTCCCCCGCACCGTACACTCACTCTCTGCACACAGATGCAAACAAGCCGAAAAACCCATAAAATACAACAAAATATACGACGCGTGTCTTCGTCTTTAGCACGGCGTTAGCTTTCGAATTCGAGCTTGAAATCGTGCGAACCTGTGAACTTTCCTTTCCCCCCATCCGCAGCCCCGTCCTCCAGAAAAAAGATCTTCCCGCCTGGAATGCAATGTATTTGTAGTGCAGTGTCAAAGTGTAGCATTTGTATGTTCCTCCCAAAAAAAAAAAAAAATATAAGATCCCAAGTGAAATTCATAGCAGGGGAAAATATAGAAAATGTATCTGAAAAAAGAAAAGATAGAATGTGTATCTTGAATACAAAGTGAGAGAGCCTTAAGATAATCCCATCGAATAAATACAAAATATTATAAAAAGAAGAAGTATATCATCACATCCAATATGTGTTTTTATTGACTCATAAACAAGAGGAGGGAATTCATGAAAAACGAGCTACTATCCACAGCTACAACAACAAAAACAAAAACAACCAGAATAAGTGAGACGACAAAAAGCAAACAAAGCAACAACAACAAAAACGCATGGCACAGAAATAGTATATATGTATGTAGTATTGCTTGGGTTTTCGCTATTACTATTGCTGTTGTTGCTGCAAATTCAAGGTCAAACTTTTCTCATCGGCAGCGAGAACCGAGCCGAACCCCAGTCCCCAGTCCCCAGACAGAAGCAACAACAAAAGCAATAGCAACAGCAACGATAACTACGAGTAAGCGGAATAGTTGACAACGGACTACGGCAGGAGGTGCGGCAGGGCAGGAAGAGTAATACTAGAAAAAGCAAACAAAACAAACAATAGAAGAATTGCGAATGCAAAAAAAACAACAGCGGAGAGCGAAGAAAAACATTTTGTTTGCAAAAAACAACAACAACTAAGGCAAAAAGAACTTTGTGCCTGCGTGTGTGTGTGTGTGTAGTGTGTGCTTGTGAGAGAGCTTTGAGGGCGCTCAAAAGCTGCTCTACTCCGCTCTGCTCTGCTCTGCTCGGATTGTGCATTGTTGTAGCTGTGGGTTGAGTGCGGTGATCGGCGCAGAAGAATTATATGCGGGGGCGGGAAAGAATATATGTGTGCAGCCAGCGCGTGCGACAAAAGCTCTGCAAAAATGATAAATTAATTAAATTAATAGCAGGCGCATCAGAAGCAACAACAATGCCAAGGCCTCTGAGAAATTAAACTAAAATATAGTATATATCGAGTAAATTAAATTAAATACAAAGGCAAAGCTAATTGTGATCTCAGCAATGAGAATGGACTATCAAATGCCCCCGCCAGCATTGGCACTGCAACAGCAGCAGCAGCAGCAGCAACATGGCCTGCAACACCAGCAGAATCAGCTGCAGTTGTTGCAACAACAGCAGCAGCAGCAGCAACAGCAACAACAGCAGCAACACCAGCAACAACTGCTGCTGGGCAATATGTCGCAGACGGCGGCCTTGCCACCGCTCAGTAGCCTGCCCCTGCAAGTGGTGCACAATCTGCCGCATTTGCTGGCTGGCAACACAAACAACAATTCCAACAACAACAATAACAGTAATGTGAGCAACAGTAACTCCAACAACAATCAGAATCTCAACAACGGGTGCAACAACAATCTGCTACGCACCAGCATGCAGCACCAACAGCAGCAGCAGCAGCAACAACAACAACATCAGCAACAGCTGCTCAACAATCTCACCAACGGGAACAATGTTGCCAATGGAGGAACGCTGCCGCCGCCCACGCAACTGTTGCAGCATCACCTGCAGCATTTGGCGCACGTGAATGTGAATGCGGCAGCGGCTGTTGCGGCAGTGGCAGCCAACAATCTGCAACATGCCGCCACCACCAACAATAGTAACAACAGTAGTGCAAACACCAATAACACTATTCTCAACCACAACAATCTCAATATTATAATCAACAATCATGCCTCCCTCAACAACAACAATAATAATAACAACAGCAACAACAACAACAACAACAATCCAGCAACACCAAATGCAAATCTCACCACGGCCACGCCCACTGTGAACACCGCCTCAACGGTGGCACAGCAACAGCAGGCGCATGAGAATAGTTTGGTCAACAGTTTAGTGGGTGTGATCAACAGCAACAACAACAACAATACCACAACCAATAACAACAACA